TCCTTTTTGAATTGTGGAGCCCAAAACTGGAAAGTACTCCAGCTGTGGCCTCACTAAGGCCGAGTACAGGGGGAGAATGACGTCCCGGGATTTGCTTGAGAAGCATCTATGGATGCAAGCCAGCGTTTTGGTCGCTTTACTAGCCACCGCATCGCATTGCAGGCTCATGTTCATCTCGTGGTCAATGATGACCCCCAAGTCTCTTTCTTCCATAGTGCTAGCCAACATAGCACTGCCGAGCCTATAAGGATGCTGCGGGTTTTTTTTCCCAAGGTGGAGAACCTTGCATTTATCAGCGTTGAACACCATCAGATTCTCGTCCGCCCACTTGCTGAGCCTGTCCAGGTCAGCCTGGATAACCTGCCTGTCTTCTGGTGTGGATGCTTTGCCCCAAAGTTTGGTGTCATCGGCGAACTTGGCCAGTCCGCTTCTGACTCCAGTGTCCACATCATTAATGAAGATGTTGAACAGTATGGGTCCAAGGACAGAGCCTTGGGGGACCCCACTGGTCACAGGACACCACGATGAGTGACTTCCATCGATTACTACCCTCTGGGTCCGACCACGGAGCCAGTTTTTCAGCCAGTGGATCGTGGTGGACCCAAGGTGACAACTGGCCAGTTTCACCAAGAGGTGATCATGGGATACCAGATCGAAGGCTTTTTTGAAGTCAAGATATATGACATCAATCTCTTCTCCCTTGTCCAGGTGATAGGTCACCTGGTCGTAGAAGGAAATGAGATTGGTCAAGCAAGACCTACCCGCAACAAACCCGTGCTGGCTATCCCTTAAGATGTTGGCGTCGGCCAGTCCATTAAGGATGGCCTCTTTAATAAACTTTTCTAAGATCTTCCCCGGGATAGAAGTCAGGCTGATGGGCCTATAGTTAGCCGGATCCACTTTCCTCCCTTTCTTGAAGATAGGCACCACATTGGCCTTCTTCCAGTCTTCGGGCACTACACCAGAGCGCCAAGAGTTTTCAAAGATCCGTGCTAGAGGCTGGGCTATGATGCTCGCCAGCTCCTTGAGTACCCTGGGGTGAAGATTGTCAGGGCCAGCTGACTTGAAGGTATCCAGCTTCTCAAGATGTTCCTTCAGAAAGTCAGCATTAATGGAGGGCAGGGGATCACCCTCACCCGGACTTCCCGGCCCTGTAGCGGGCATGGGCGTCCCATGGGACTGATGAAAGACTGACGCAAAGTACCTATTTAATAGGTTAAAAGTATCCTCCTATTTTCTACTCTTCAGAAGAATAATAGTCCAAACCATCTCAAACCTCAAAGAAAAAATTGTGGTTGGTTTCAGTGTTGCTGGGAATCTGAGCATGTTCTGCCATGAATCTACTACTGATAGTTACAGCAGTGCTGGTATCCACTCAGAAAATGGTTTCTTTTCCCCCTCCAAACTGTGCAAGCATTTCTGGAAAACTAAAGTGATGCCATCAAATGCATGCACTGAAGTCAATTAAGAGATGTCAGAAAACTTGAAATTAGACTCAGGAGATAAAATGTTGGGCTGCCTCAGCCTCAGGTTTGCTGGTCATTACATTTTCCTCAGCATATTTGCCAAAACTCAGACTTTCCCAGAACTAAGTACAGATTTGGCCAAGGTTGGTTCTCCACCTCTTTATCATTACCTGAAAGAGAAAAAAGCCAAATACACAGAACTATGGGTTTGGTTTTGGAGTAGTGCAAAAAGTGCTTTTATAATTAAACGTTAGTGCATGAAGGTCTTTTTCATTTCTGACCGCAAATCTAAGTTTGAACAAGACCAGCCATGATGCTGTGTGGCAGAAAGCAACCTTTGTTTCTTCCTCAAAAAAACTCTGCTCTGTGACAATTGTGATTAGGATGGGCCCAGCAGAGGGTACATACCTTTACCCTGTCTCTTTGGGTAACCTGAGCTGGATACATTCCTGATGGAGGGGGGAAACCTGCTCCCTCTGCCTATGTGACTGGCATCACATACCTGGGTGAGGGGCTTCCTTCCTGATGGGCTAGAGTCTGCCCGGCAACTAGTGATGTATTTCAAATTGGTTGGCTGACAGCCAACAGGTGCTGACCTCCATTGGACCAGGTAAATGAGGTCACAAGGGCTATATAAGTTAAGCACTGCCTGACTTGGGGAGGCAGCAGCGACAAGGGATACTCAGGAACAAAGAAGAGCTGCACCATCTGAAACTGGCTCTGCCTCTCAAAACTCATGATCAAGGAATGGCTTTTCTCCCGAGGGGACCTCCACAAACCTCTTGGGGGGAATCCCCAACAGCCTCTGGATGACACTTGTGAGTAACCTAACTGAGATCCAACTAGATGTATAGCTTGCAGTAACTCAGATGTGAGATCAAATGCTACCACAGCCACAGGAGTTTGCTCGATGGGATTTCTCTGATATTGCTCTACCCTGTACCCTAGTCTAACCCTACCCTCTGTGACCAATAAAGTTCTCCTTTGTACCTAGTGTGGGAGACTTATTGAGGGGTGGGTTTCATTATGCCCAGGAGGCCCCTTGGGTCTGCGCACTAAGGGAGACTATCCTTTTTGGCACCTGACTTGGGGAAGTGCCCCCAGTTCTTGTATTGGGTCGAGTACCTGTAGGACTATTAGGCCTGTGTTTCCCTGAGGACACAGGACTCAGACAGTCCCTTCTTGGGGTGGTGGCAGCACGTTACCCCCGTTCTCTGTGGTGGGGCTCAAAATGGGGTCTGCCAGGGCTTGGGCACCCCTGGAGAGACATGTGGAGTCTGGAAGGTGGACGGGCGTAGTGAGGTGGGAGGCTCAATGCAAGAGCTCCCCCTACTGGCCGGCCACACCCACAAGCAAAACTTTTTTTCTCAAGCTCTCATTATTTCATGCCTTGACTACATAGCTTCCCCTTTCTTGCACAGCAGGATGGAGCTCCAGTTTTAACTGGTTTCTTAAGGCTCTACCTTATTGTAAATAATTGAAAATATTTACAATTATTATCAGTTGTAAAAACAAAGCAACACAAATTGCAACCAAACTGATGAGACTATGAGAGAGGTTGCCAATTATTTGGGCTGGATGGCTGCTGAAGCAGTTTCAGAGAGCTGTTGAGAGCTCACCTGGCCTGGCCTGGCAACAGGGTGGAGGAGCACAATTGGTTTTATCCAGCCTCAGGCTGTCCACCCTGCATCCAATGCCATGAGCAAGTGGGTGAGGTCTCTATGGAGACCGTCCTGGATCCCCATGGGCAGGGTGCATTAGACTGGGTGGATGGGATTGGGCCGTGGGCAGGTGGGGAGCAGTGTCTGGGAACAGGATGGGAGGGCAGGGATGAGGCCAGGGATGAGGGAGTTGCACTAGATGTGACCTCCTGAGGTCCCTCCCAACCCTCATTTTCTATGATTCTGTGATCTATGTTTTAGCTTGAACAGCAGCAGGCTCCAGCAATATTCAGGGCTTAGGAAAGGGATAGTCCCTACTTTTTGCTCAGCAGCCTAGTGCTCCTTTTATTTTCTTGAGCAAGTAACTGATTGCTGCTGGCACAATGAAGGTATTTGATATGATTAATCAAATATTTTAACTTTTAAAAGTGGCAGTCTCCCAAGTGTTCCAGACAGAAAATGCCATTGGTAAAAAAGTTAAAACATTAACATTGCAATCTCCACATTTTGGTTTAAACAGAAAAAAACAACAACTCTGTACCAAATATATTACTTGGGGATGGGTTGCGGGGGTGGGATTCATCTAACTGTTGTTCATGTAAGGTAAGCACAGAGAAATAATGGGAGTTAAATTACCCAGGAGTTTATAGCTTTGCCTATGTTATGTAAAAAAACTGGTCTTCAAACTAAAAGAACTTGAGTGTTTTGGAAACTATTTTATAAAATTAAGTGATTAAAACCACTGACTACTTTGGAAGTTAATTTTACCTAATTAATCAAAAATACTGTTAAAAATATGTTGAAAACATATACATCAAAAGTTCAAAAATGGAAAAAAACCAAACAAATTAGACGAATGCATAAAACACATAATTAGGAAGTTTTTATTTTTACTTAAGCCATTTTCAGTAGTATCGCAGGAAAGTCTGTGCCACCTATACAAAAACGTCTTAATAATTAATCAGATAAGGCTGGAAGGTATCATGCCTAGTAAAACACTGGAACAGGCTCCCCAGAGAGGTTGTGGAGTCTCCATCCTTGCAGGTTTGAAGACTCGGGTAGACAAAGCCCTGGTTGGGATGATGTAGCTGGGGCTGGTCCTGCTTTGATCAGGGGGTTGGACTAGATGTGACCTCCTGAGCTCCCTCCTAACCTTCATTGTCTAGGATTCTATGAAAATATGGGGCAGGGAGGGAATTTCCCCCCACTTGCTGCTACACGTCTGAGGGGGTTTAAGCTTACCCCAGAGGCACCGGGTGCTGGGTGCAGCCCAGGCCAGGATGGAGATGGGGCTGAGCCAATGCTCCTCTGGGACCAACCCACAGGGTCCTGGCTAGAGGGTTGGCCCCTGTGCTCAGGCTCAGACTGATGCTGCACTGGGAGCAGGGAGGGATTTCAAACTGGTCCAGACTGGGAGGTTTTGCCTTCCACTGCCGCAGGGGCATGACCTGGGCCTGGGGTCTCTGGGGCATCCATGACCCCCTTGGCAGCAGCACATTGGCCCATGACTCTCCCTGCTGCCCTGGGGGCAGCGGCGGGGGCGATGCCTGGGGCTGTCAGGGTGACAGTGTTATGCAGCTCTGAGCTTGGACACGGGGTTTGTTTGGGATGGTTTGGACAGGGCTGGTCCTGCCTTGGGTTGGACTTGGACTGGATGCGACTCCCTTGGGCCTGCAGCTATGAGTCTCAGCAGCCCTGATCCAGAACAGCTGAGCTGCCCATGGTGGCAGGCCCAGAGCTGGGCCAGTTGGAGGGAAGGGGCACGGGGAGTGGGCCGGGCTGGGCCAGGTGGAGGTTGGGGGCACAGGGCCAGGTGGGGCTCAGGTGGAGGTAGCTGGCCTGGCCCTGATGCTCTCCCTCTGCTTGGTGGCAGGTCCCACGGCCAAGGTGAAGCGACAAGCAGTGCTGAGCACCTACAAGGATGTGATTGGTGGCTGCTACCAGGACTAGTGCCCACACCCACGGTCTGCCCCCTGCCAGAGGTCCAGGCCTGGCGCCACTCTACCCTGGGGAGACCTGTGCCTGGCCTGGCCCGGCCCTTCCTCTTGGTGAGAGCAGGGACAATAAACCCTGGGGAGAAGCAGTGCTGTAGTCTGGGCTCCTTGGGGATGTGGGGGAGGAGGGTCTGTCCCATCCCAGGGGGCCCTGGGCAGCAGGCAGGAGCTTGGGCAAGGGGGGCTTATAGTTTCATAGTTTCATAGTTTTAGGGTCGGGAGGGACCTAATAGATCTTCTAGCCCGACCCCCCGCCAGGGCGGGAGAACAACAAAAAACCCTAAACAAAAACCGGGACTCAAATGAGTCCAGCCAGGTAGGCATCCAGCCTCTTCTTAAAGACCCCCAGGGTAGGGGCCAGCACCACCTCCCTTGGAAGTTGGTTCCAGCTCCTAGCCGCCCTAACTGTGAAGTAGTTTTTTCGGATGTCCAATCTGTACCTCCTCTCCATCAACTTGTGCCCATTACTCCTTGTTATGCCAGCGGGGGCTAGGGGAAACAGCGTCTCCCCCAAACCCTTCTGGTTCCCCCTAGTGAGTTTATAGACGGTCACCAGGTCCCCCCTCAGCCTTCTCTTGTGGAGGCTGAATAGGTTCAAGTCCCGCAGTCTCTCACTGTAGGGTCTGCCCTGTTGTCCCCGGATCATGCGGGTGGCCCTCCTCTGGACCCTCTCCATGTTGTCCACATCCCTCCTGAAATGGGGCGCACAGAACTGGACACAATACTCCAGCTGCGGCCTGACCAGCGTCGCATAGAGGGGGAGGATCACCTCCCTGGCTCTACTCGAGATGCACCTGTGGATGCACGACAAGGTCCGGTTAGCCCTGCCAACCATGACCTCGCATTGTCGGCCCATGTTCATCTTGGAGTCAATAATGACACCAAGATCCCTTTCCGCCTCCGTGCTCTCAAGTAGGGAGCTCCCCATCGTATAAGTGTGCTGCTGGTTCCTACTACCCAAGTGCAGCACCCTGCACTTGTCCGTATTGAAACACATCCTGTTCCTGTTTGCCCACCCCTGTAACCTATCCAGATCCTTCTGCAATCTCTCTCTCCCTGCTAGCGTGCTCACCTCCCCCCAAATTTTGGTGTCATCAGCGAATTTAAACAGGTTGCTTTCCACCCCAACATCAAGATCGCTGATGAAGAAATTGAACAGCGCAGGCCCCAGGACCGAGCCCTGGGGGACTCCACTACCCACCTCCCCCCAAGTCGAGTATGATCCATCCACCACCACCCTCTGAGTGCGACCCTTCAGCCAATCTGCAATCCATCTGACTGTGTAGGCCTCCCTGCCACAGTCGCCTAGTTTATTAATTAGGATGGGGTGAGAGACGGTGTCAAAGGCCTTGCTGAAGTCCAGAAAGACTACATCCACCGCGACACCTGCGTCCAGGGGGTGGAGCTTTCTCAGGGGGTGGGGCCAGGGGCGGTCAGGGAGGGGGCAGGGCCGCTATGCCCTTGGGCATGTGGTGCTGCTCAGGAACTGGTGGCAGGGAGGAGTGACAGGCATGGGATCCAGTGGGGTGGGGTGGGGTGCCCTGCCCCTCATGCCAGCGAGCACGGGAGACTGCAGTGTGAAGCGACCGCGGCAGAAGCAAGTGTGAGGATCCCAGGTGGTGGCGGATGGAGTGAGCTGGACAGCTGGGTTTTCTGAGCTGAGGCCAAGGCCAGGGCCAGGAGGCCCTCTGGCCACCACTTACACTGCTCCCACCCCCCACCTGGCTCCGACAGTGGATGTGGCCTTGACCCCCTCCAACTGGCCTCAACCCCCCCAATTGTCCCCAAGTCTCCACCCCATCCTGGCCCCCCAGCCCTGAGCGCCCCCTTCTCCCAGCCCAGAGCATCCCCCATCTCTGCCCTGGCCTCCCCCTTGTAGGGTGACCACCCTCCCTAATTGGGCGGGACAGTCTCGGAATGAGATCATCATGTCCCAGTCCCAGGCTGCATGACTCCAGTACTGCATTTGTTCTGGATTCACAGCATCATGCAGGGATCCAGGAGATGGAGACCAAAGCCCTGAGGTCAGTGGGGAAGTGGGTGATCCGGAGGAAGAGCAAGCAGGAGGGGCAATGGGGGTGGGGGGTGCTATCATACTTCCTGAGAAATCAGGGCAATTGGCTAGTCACCTCCAGTGCCTGAACACGGATGCACAGATTTTGGGAAACAAGCAGGAAGAACAGGAAGCCCTCACACAGCCACAGACCTCTGATGTGATTGGAATAGCAAAGACCTGGTGGGAGCTCACGTGACCAGAGCATGGTCATGGACGGGCACAAGCTGCTCAGGAAGGACGGGCAGGGGAGAAGAGGAGGAGTTGCGCCGTGTGTAAAAGCTGTATGATTGCTCAGAGCTCTAGTATGAAACTGGAGACAGGCCTGTTGAAAGTTTCTGGGTTAGGGTCCGAGGGGAGAGCAACAAAGGTGATGTGTGGGACCACCAGACCAGGAGGATGAGGTGAAGGAGGATTTCTTCAGACAGCTAGCAGAAGTTTCCTGGTCACAGGCCCTGGTTCTCATGGGGGACTTGAATCACCCTGACATCAGCTGGGAGGGTAACACAGCAGCATGCAGGCAATCCAGGAAGATTTTGGAGAGTGTTGGGGACAACTTCCTGGTGCAAGTGCTGGAGTGGCCAAGTAGGAGCCATGATCTTCTTGATCTGGTGCTCACAAACAGGGAAGAATTGGAGACGGATGCAGTAGTAGATGGCAACTTGGGCAGCAGTGACCATGAGATGATTGAGCTCAAGATCCTGAGGAATGGAGGGATGGGAAGCAGCAGAGTAAGAACTCTGGACTTCAGAAAAGCAGACTTTGACTTGCTCAGGGAATTCATGGACAGGATGCCCTGGGAAGCCAGTCTGAGGGGGAAAGGAATGCAGAAGAGCTGGCTATGTTTTAATGAAGCCTTACTGAGGGCACAGGAACAAACCACCCTGATGTAGTGGGCAAACTGAGCTATGCTAAGGCTTTTTAACCATTGCCCAGACCCTCCTAGAACTAAGCAACAAAATTGAACAGACGCCTGCTGTGGCCCCGGGAGATGTGAGCACCGTGAGGGCACTAGGCGAGCAAGGCACAACAGTTTCCATATAAGGAATGCGGTTGGCACGGAGCCAGGGGATTGGACCATTTGGGATGAGAAAGTTACAACGGTGATGGACAAACAAAGGAACAGGTGTGTTTTGTGTTGCCATCCTGGGGAGACAGGACCAACGCTGGAATTCTTGTTCAAACAATAAGGAATCCAGAAACGAACATCCTGCGCACCCAGCAGAGGATCTGAGGCCTGGTGCCCCCGAAGGCCACTGCTGTAACATCTCAGGAACCACTTGCCAGGTCATATTATGGGGAGGAAACCTGTAATAAAGCCTAAGGATTGCTATTAAAATTCACTTGAGACCAAATCAGATGAGGGGCCATGTCAATCCTTGGGGTGTCTGGTAAAAGAAATCCGAGGGGCAACACTGATGTGCAGGACGACTAACAAATACAGAAGGTGACAAGCTTGGCTTAGCAGAGAGCTCTCTCGTGAGCTTCAACACAAAAAGGAAGCTGACAAGAAGTGGAAGCATGGGCAGATGACTAGGGCAGAGTGTAAGAGCAGTGTTCAGGCATGCAGGGATGAAGTCAGAAAGGCCAAAGTGCAATGAGTTTTGCAGCTAGCAAGTGATATGAAGTAGGGCTGTGCGAAATTTCGCCACCAGTTTTGTTTCAACACTGTTTCGACTCATTTCAAGGTCAAAGCAGAAAAATTGAAATGGAACAGATATGGTCGAAACAGCCTTGAAACAAAACAAGGCAAGTCGAAATGTTTCGCCGTTTTGACGCTGTTTTGATCTTTCAGCTATAATGGGTTATAATGGGGAAGGTAGAAACAGCCGATAACTGTCATTTCTGGCCTGATTTGGATGAAAGTTGCAGGAATGGTAGATAGGTGCAGAGCGCCCCAAGGAAAAACAAGGACCAATGCTCACAAACTCCTCCAAGACCATTTTAGGTTGGACATAAGGAAAAATTTCTTTACTGTCCGAGCCCCCAAGACCTGGAATAGATCCCCTCCAGAAATGGTACAGGCACCTACTCTGGACTCATTCAAGAAATGTTTGAATGCTTGTCTTGCTGGGATCCTTTGACCGTAGCTGACTTCCTGCCCCTGGGGCAGGGGGCTGGACTTGATGATTTTCAAGGTCCCTTCCAGCCCTAATGTCTATGAAATCTATGAAACCATTCTCTAACAGTTTATAGCCATTGTTCCTTGTCCTCCCCAGGGCCCTAGTAAACAGTTTATCTCCCAGCTCCCAAGAGTCACCCCTTAAATACTTATAGACAGCCACTAAGTCCCCTCTCAGTCTTTTCTAGCCTAGGCTGAACAGTCCCAGATCCCTTCCTTAATCTTTCCTCCCAGGGTTTGTCTTCCAGGCCCTTAATCATTCTTGTGGCCCTTCTCTGGACCCTTTCAAGATCCTCCACATCTTTTTTGAAGTGCGGCACCCAGAAGTGGACACAGTACTGCAGCTGGGGTGTCAGCAGCGCTGAGTAGAGAGGAAGTATCACTTGCTCGCACCGCATCGGCTAATACATCCCGGTATGCTATTAGCTCTGTTGACTACAGCCTTGCACCGGCAGCTCAATTTCATCCTGTGATCAACCATAATCCCAAGGTCCCTTTCAGCCATCGTGCTGGTCAGGACTTCTCCTCCTAACCTATATTCATGTTGCTGGTTACTTCTCTCCAGATGAAGCACTCTGCATTTATCCTTATTGAACTGCATCCAGTTCTGCTCTGCCTGCCTTTCCAGCTTGTGCAGGTCTGCTTTTATCTGCATCCTATCTGCTAGCATGACCACTTTTCCCCATAACTTAGTATCATCTGCAAACGTGGCCAGCATGCTTTCCACATCCTCATCGAAATTGTTGATAAAGATGCCGACCAGCACAGGGCCAAGAACCAAACCCTGCAGGACACTACTGGCCACCTCCCACCAAGATGATACAGACCCATCCACTTACACTTTCTGGGTTCAACCCCATAGCCAGCTCCAAACTCACCTGACTGTGGACTCTGCCAGCCCACAATGCCACAGTTTTTATATAAGAGCATCATGGGAGACCATATCAAAGGCCTTTTTAAAATCCAAGGATATGACACCAACTACGTCTCCCATGATCATAGGAGACGAGGTTGGTTAGACATGACCTGGCCACAGTGAAACCATGTTGGCTATCCTTCAGCATCATGCCTCCTGCTACTCTCTAACAAATGGACTTCTTGATATTTTTTTCCATAATCTTATCTGGTTTTGAGGTCAAACTCACCAGTCTATAGTTTCCCAGAACTTCCCTCTTCCCCTTCTTAAATATTGGCACAACATTGGCCCTTCAGAGATACCCCTGAGAAATTGGAGCACTGTGTCAAAAAAAATTTCATGAGGTTCAACAAGGACACATGCAAAGTCCTTCAATTCGGACAGAGCAGTCACATGCACTGGTACAGGCTGGGGGCTGCCTGGCTGGGCAGCAGCTCTGCAGAAAAGGACCTGGGGGTGACAGTGGACAAGAAGCTGGACAGGAGCCAGCAGTGTGCCCTTGGTGCCAAGAAGGCTACTGGCATCCTGGGCTGCATCAGTAGGAGCGCTGCCAGCAGATGGAGGGCAGTGATCCTTCCTCTCTATTCAGCACTAGGGAGGCCACATCTGGAGTCCTGTGTCCAGCTGTGGGCCCCTACTTCAGAAAGGATGCAGACACATTGGAGAGAGTCCAGTGGAGGGCAATGAAAATAGCTGGGGGGCTGGGGGACAGGACTGGTGAGGAGAGGCTGAGGGAAATGGGCCGATTGAGTCTGCAGAAGAGAAGACCGAGGGGGATCTGATAGCAGCCTTCACCTCCCTGCAGGGGGGCTCCAAAGAGGATGGAGCTGGGCTGGTCTCAGTGGGGGCAGATGACAGAAAAAGGAGCAGTGGGCTCAAGTTGCAGCAAGGGAAGTTGAGCTTAGATATTAAGAAATAGTCTCTCACAAGGAGGGTAGTAAAGCACGGGAACAGGCTCCCCAGAGAGGTTGCGGACTCTCCATCCTTGGTGGTTTTGAAGACCTAGCTAGACAAAGCTTTGGCTGGGATGATGTAATTGGGGCTGGTCCTGCTTTGAGCAGGGGGTTGGACTAGAGCTCCCTTCCAGCCCTTCTTGTCTATAACTCTGTTTGAGAAGAGGCTGGACAGCCACAGGTTAGGGATGATGTAGGAGGAGCAGCACCAGAGTCCACTGTGAAGCCCAAGAGCTCCCACACCTGCACCACTTGGAGACCTGGGAAGAGCTCTGCAGCGCAGGGCAGGGGGAGTTCAGAGAGGATGGTGCTGAGCCGCAGCAGAACCAGGTACAGCTCAACAACCGCCTTGTACATGACACCGGATGGAGGAGCTATGGGTGCTTGGTAGGGGTGAGGTGACGGCCAGGGGAGTCCTGACTGCAGCTGGAGGCTGCCATGGGCAAAGCTGCATTGGCTGAGGGCAAAGCAGAGGGCGCTGGGCTTTGCTGGTCACCATGTGGGACTGTTACAGCTGTGATGATTTCTTCACCTCCCCCAGAGGTGCTGGGTGCTGGCTGCAGCCCAGGATGGGGACAGGGATTAGGCTGGGCCAAGGCTCCTGCTGGGACATTTTCTTGGAAGATCCTGGCTGGGGATCTTGCCCCTCGGCTCAAGGCCAGACTGCAGTTGCAGGAGTATCACCCCATGGCTGTGGGGGTCTCATCTCACTCTCTATGGGCACAAGGGGCCAAGGAGGGGCATGGTCCTCTTCCTGGAGTCTCTCAGGGGATACTTGTGACTGCTGGACACTGACATTGCCCTTGTCCCCCTGGTTGTCCTTCAGCAGCTCAGGCTGTTCCTAGTGTTTTGGGCTCTGTGGCTCGCAGTGGCGCAGAAGAGCTGCTCATGCAGTTTTAAAGATAGGTTAGACAAACTTTCTAGAACAGTTTGGATAGTGATCCTGCTGGGGCAGGGGAGTACCAGAGGTGATGTCCTGAGGGCCCTTTCTCCCCTATTCTTCTATGGTAGGAAGTGCAAAGTCCAAAGGCACTTATGGCTCAAATGCAGACTGGGGACTGGGCAGGCAGCAGCAGTGCAGGACAGGGCTGGGAGATTATAGGGGATGGAGAAGCTGATACGAGACCGCAGGGTGCAGGGCACACAGAGTAGGGCCATGGGGCAGGGGTGAGCACACTGTTTGGGGAAACCAAGGTTTATGGCACAAAGACTCATGTATTACAGGTCTGAACAGGGCTCAGCCTCTGCTGGGGCAGGGACCCTCCAACAAGACGACCTGTCCCAGGATACCACAGCCTGGTAGGAATGGGATCTCCTGTGGGGTGCAGGAGGATTCCCAGAGAGACTGCTCCAAAACCCCCAAACAGCCCCCTGTGGTTCCACGGCAAGAGGAAGGGGAGGACCTGCCAGTGCCTGCCATCGTTGGCCCCTCTGAGCACCATGGCCCCACCCCGATGCATATTTCCACCCCCTCCCTGACTGCCATGGCCCCACCCCTGACACTTAGCCCCACCCCCACCTGGCTCTAACCCCCAAAGAGCCTGGACACAAGTCACTGCTTCCCCATGGTTTATTGTCCTGCTGCAGTGGGGAACGGCTGGGCTGGGCTGGGCACAGGCCCCTGGGCCAGTGTGGCACCGTTTCCGGCCAGAGCCAGAGCCGGGGTACAGATGCTAGTCCTGGTAGCAGCCACTGATCCTGGTCTCGTAGGCGCCTAGCACCACCCGGCGCTTCAGCTTGGCTGTGGGACCTGCCTCCAGCAGGGGAGAGCGTCAGCATTGGCTCCATGCCCCGCGCCCCATGCCCTGCCCTCTGCCCTTCCCTAGCCTGCCCTGCCAGCATGAACTGGCAGGCCGGGCTGTGCTGGGGCCTTGCCGTGTCACCCATGCAGGAAGCTTCCAGCTAGCCTGGCTCAAGATCCTTCCCACCTGCACCTGCCCTGACCTCCCGGCCACAGGGCACGCAGCTCCTGCTGGCTGCAGGGAGGCTCCCAGGGCCCTGCAGCAGCTGGATGCTGGGGCGGCCCCAGGAGCTGCAGGTGGGTGGAAGCTGGGCAGGCTCCCTGGCTGGAGGGCACAGGCTGGGCATAGCCGGCTCCTCCAGGAGGTAGCAGTCAGCCCTCGCCCCCAGCCCTCACCCCTCTTGGGCTTCCGCCTTGGTCCCAGGGGCCTGCTGCCCAGCACTCACCCAGCTCCCCACTGGCGATGGAGAAGTCCCTGGGCAGCAGGGCCCACTTCTGCACACGATGGGCGCGGGACGGGGCGCGCTGGTTCACCCGCTCCACGCCCTGCTGGATGGCCTGGTACACGGCCGGGTCCTGCATGCTCAGCACCTCTGACACCCGCGTGGCCTGGCTGCCCAGCTCCCGGCAGAACTGCAGGGCCTCGGGGCTCAGCTCGTCCAGGGGCGCCCCCGACTCCGGATCCACCTTGCACTGGGGGAGGGAGAGCCTGTCACACGAGGGCAGGTGGGCAGCCAGTGTGGGGAGACTGGGAACGTGGGCACAGACCCTGCTGCGGCAGCCACAGCTATGCCAGGGCAGGCGCTGGGGCGCTGGGTGTGGGTGAAGGGAGGAGACATCAACGATGGAAGGGCAACAACTACCCATGTGTAGGAGTGATACAGAACAGCACAGAGTGTTAAGCCATCATGGACCCAGGAACAGGGGCTATGGCTGTGCTCACAGGTTTACAGTAGCTATTCCCCTGCTGCCCCCATGGGCTGCCCAGTGAGTCCACACCAAAGGACACCTATGCCTCTCCCTGCAGGACCCATCCTGCCGGGACGCTGGGAGGAGGCAGTGCCCAGAGATGTCCCCACCTTCAGAGTGAGCAGCATGGACAGGAACTTCCTGCCGTCACCGACCAGGATTGCATTGCTGATGATTGGCACCTCCCTCTTCACTGCTTCCTCGATGGGCACCGGGGCAATGTTCTTCCCTCCTGCCGTGATCACCAGCTCTGCAACCGGCACAGTGTCATGGGGCGGGAGGGCAGAGCCATGGCAGGGGGAAGCCCCAGGACAAAGGCAGTGAGGGGGTGGGGGGCAGGGTGCTGCAACAGGACACAGCAGGGCGATGCTTCTCCTGCCACCCCTCTGCACCAGGCCCTCCAGCCCCGCACCACCCCTGCCCCTCACATGCCCACTCACTCCAGTGCACTCTGGCCCTTACCCTTGATCCTGCCCACAATGTAGAGGAAGCCGTCGGGGTCGCAGCGTGCAAGGTCCCCTGTGCGTAGCCAACCTGCCTTGTCCAGTGCCTCCTGTGTCGCGGCCTCCATGCCCAGGTAGCCCATGAAGACATGGCGGCCCCAGCAGCACAGTTCGCCGGTGCCCTCCACGTCCGGCTGCTTGATGCGGGACCTGCAGCCTGGCAGTTCCTTCCCGCAGCTGGAGGCAGCCCCCGCACCCTCAGCGGCAGTGGAAGCTGTGGGGGATGGGGGCGGGGCAAGGCACCTCTCCCCAAGGACTCGCACATGCCTGGGGGTGACTGTGTAGCCCCTGAGGTGCTCTGTCCTGAACCCCCCTCCCCTGCATCCCCAGCTGGGAACAGGTCCCTGGATACTCATGCCCCAGTCCCTGCTTTCCCCTCCACCTGTGCCAGACACTCACCACCCCCTTGGCCCCCAGCACACCTGGGCTTGCACCTTTGTCCCAGCCTCTGGAACTTCTGGTCCTGCCCCCCCCACAACCCCAGTCCTGCCCCCCCAAGCCATGCCCCACCTGAGGATGCGACAGGAATGGTGGGTGCAGGTGCTGTGTGGCCCACTGCTCTCACTCAAGCCGAACAACTCGAGGATGGGCAGGTGGAGGCTCATGAAGAACTCCAGCGTGTCCTTGGCGGTGGGCGCTGCCCCAGTCAGTAGCACAGTGCAGCGCTGCAGCCCCAGCTCCTCGCGCACCTTCCTGAACACCAGGCGCTCGGCCAGGGCAAAGCCCCAGGGCATAGAGCCATCCCTGTGGGGAGGAAGAGCAGGGCTGAGGCTGCAACAGACCACAGGGCTGGGTTGTGGGTACTTTGCTAAACTTCCGGGGTGTCCTGGGCCACAAGGCTGGCATCATCTGCCCTGGATGTTGCCTGCCCAAGGTGCCCCCAGCACCTGGTATCCAGCCTCTCACAAAGCAAAGAACCCTGCTGGGCTGGGCCAGGCTGCGGTTCCAGCCAGCCCAGGTGCTGGAAGCTGTCCTGTAACGGGGTCCCGTGGGGACAAAAGCCCCCAGGCCCACCTTTTCCATGCTGCTGCTGTGGTCTGAGCTGCCCGGCAGGACTGGGGATCCTGGGCAGCACAAGGCAGTCACCTGCAGCTGTCACAATGGGAATCACTGCCAGCCACTGACCTCAGCTCCATGTTCCCAGCTCTGCTGGCAGCCCCCAGACTAGAGGCACGGTCCTAAGGGATGGCTCTGCAGTGGGAGGCCTCATGGACCTCTGCAAATGGGTTTGGCCCAGCTGCTCTGTTGGGGCTCAGCTCGGAGCCCTGGGAACAAGCAGTCCTGTGCTACAGTCTCTCCCCAGGGGTGACCTGGGAAAGCCCCAGTCATTCCCCAACAGCTCAACTCAAGGGGAGCTGCTCCTAGAGCCAGGGAAGGAACCATGCCTAGGCACAGCTGGGTCTAGGCATGACCCAGCTGGGCCTCCCATGGGGGAGGAAGTTTTAAGCCAGGTGGATGGTGGTGCTTTGGGTCAGTGCCACCACTAGGGATAGGCAGGCCCACGCTCTTGGAGGAGTTGAGGGAGCAGGGCAGGCCTGTACCCTCAGCATGTGCCTGGCATCCCAGTAAAGAGCTGGTCTGGCTCAGAGCACCTGCACCATTTGCTGGCTGGGTCACTCACAGCAGCGAGTGAGTGGCTGTGGGGGAGCTCGGCCACATCATAGAAGGATGTGGGTTAGGCTACATGGGGGGCAAGGAGAAAGGGATTTGGTGGTGGGGGTCTGCTACAGACCCCCACATCAAGGGGAAGAAATAGATTCGGGGCTCCTGAGGCAGCTCTCGGAGACCATAAAAGCTAAAGAGGCGGTGGTCATG